CACAAGTTGACTTTAGCCAGATCGTCGCTTTTCCACGTCATTTGGGCACTTGCACAGCGCGTGCCTTGCAGTTAACTTTTATTCATTAAAAAATAAATTGCAATTTTGTTTAAAAAAAAAAAAAAAAGAGAGAGAGAGAGAGAGAGAGAGAGAGAGAGAGAGAGAGAAAGAGCACGGAGTGTCATCCATGTCAAAGCATGGTCTAGTCTATGCCTTGAACTAATTCAAACCAATATGGCGAATGTCTGTTTCCAAAAGACTTTTACGATGACCCACACTATGTGATCTTCACCACATCAGCTCGATCCTCCATTTCTATGACACTGACACGCTCTTCTGGCACTTTGCGCTGATCTGAAGGAAAGGTGTGAGATAGCTGGCGAAGTCAAGAGGTATCAAGATTTTAATGCCTTAATTCCTTGAGTATCTGACCAGTCGAGATGCCTGTTTTTGTGTATAATCCAGAGGTTGATCCGAGATGGAAAGACTCTTCTCGCAGAAATGGGTTTTAAGCCGAGGAACATCAGTAACATATCAAACTGGAACACTCTTGATCAAGGTCTATCAATCTGAAATTGTGACTTCTCAATGAACTATACGGGGTCAGTAAGGACTTCATGTTGGGAGTTGAGACTGATTTTGTAAGTGAAGATATCTTTCTTACTTTTCACTTGAATCGTTTCGTCTTAGAATGAGTTGGTATGTTTTTATTCATAAAATCAAACAAACAAAAAGCAAAACAAATTATAACAAAACAAGAGAGAGAGAGAGAGAGAGAGGAGAGAGAGAGAGAGAGAGAGAGAGAGAGAGAGAGAGAGAGAGAGAGAGAGAGAGAGAGAGACAGACAGAGAGAGAGAGAGAGATAGGAGCAGTGCGTATAATAAATTGTTTTATAGAAAAAGAATTATAAGATGTGGGCACTTCAACAAGAACCACCCTGATTGTTATATTCATAAATTGTGAAAAACAGATTTTGTAATCGATCTATTAATGCGATGATGGAATTACGGGTGAGAATTTCCATTCACTGTCTGAAAAAGGACTCCCTATCACTTTCGTTTAAGAGTTTATGGATGTGTGTGCTTTCGTACATGGGTGCGTGCGTGTATGTATATATATATATATATATGTGTGTGTGTGTGTGTGTGTGTGTGTGTGTGTGTGTGTGTGTGTGTGTGTGTGTGTGTGTGTGTCTGTGTGTGTGTGTGTGTGTGTGTGTGTGTGTGTGTGTTCTTTAATAGGCATTAGGAGAAGGGCGAATCCAGATAAACCGACTGAGTACTTGAGTAAGGATAGCCTGGCAAATGACACACGATAGACAGATCGGTAGAGTTTGACAAAAATGGATAAGTAGGCTTAAATGGAGCAATGATTCAGTTATTATAAGTACTACACACCGACAGATAAATAGACAAGTAGGCAAAAAAAGACAAACAGACAGACAGAAATATAGATAGATAGATAGATAGATAGATAGATAGATAGATAGATAGATAGATAGATAGATGGATTCAAAAATGAGTTTACAAGAAAAAAACCTACAACAGCAAACAGAAACAACAAAATCGGTGAAACACGAAAAGTGATCATAATAATCGAACTTCATGTTACGTCTGTAACAAACGGGGCAATAGCAAAAGAAAATAAAAAGAAAGGGGAAACCAAAATATAATAATATATCGTCTAAAGAGAAGTTGAATTGTGGAAATACTGAGAGACCCCAGGCCACGGGGAGGAATGTTGAGAACTGAGAAACGTTGGAATGTTGAATGCTTGGCTTGTACAAAGTTGTGCATACTGTTCCATAGACAAGACAAGGGAGATAAGACTGTCTGGTTTTGTGTGTCTTTACCACAGAAATACATACAGAAAATGCCATTTGTCTCTTGCCGTTGCTTGTCTTGGCATTTATGTTGACTTTAAATGAGGATTAAAGATTCACCCTGAGCAGACTTAAAGTTTGTTTCTGAAGTTCTGTTATACGATATTATTTTTTTAAATTGCCTATAATATGTAACATTCTGAGGTACACGTTAATTATTATTGTTGATCATTTATTTAAGGCAGCCAAAACGAAATTAGACTCCAGACTTCAAGTAACTTTTAAATAATAGAAACCATGTTCTCTTAAAAATAAATACCATGAGTTGTATCAGCTTACTTTAGGCTATTCGATCTTTCTTCTTTCTTTTCTTAAAAAAAACATTAATTCTGTTTGAAGTACGTGTAAGTGCCCCCCGGGACCGTTTTCGTGAGAACCTTTCTCTGGAGTGCGACAGTGTATAGGCTATAACATCGTGGTGGTTGTAATAGCAAGCAAAGCAATTTTAGATAACCAAATATAAAATCTAACTCTAAAAGTAGAGGTGGAGTTCAGTGCTCCAATAATGAAAGTTTCACCCTGACAGCTTTATGCTCGCCCTGTTCCAGAAATAGTTCACTAACTTATTATATCGTTATCCCAGAAAAATGGGATCGCGGCTTGACGAATAAATTACCCGGTACTCTGATCTATTCTTAGAGCAAGCTTTTCACCCCTATTATCCTCACCGTTCCCTTCAACGCAGCGACTGGCGTCTACGGTGTATGTAATAGTTTGGTTCTTTGCTGTTGCATGTAAAAGACATGTGTTTGATTACCAAATGGGACAGTCTTTTCTCTCCGTCTGTCTGTTGGATGCTACATCCCACTCAGTTCAGGATAGTCGAGGCAGCTCGCTTCCAAAATTATCTAAATTGTCAGAACCTAACTCCACTAGGGCTAAGAGAGAGAGA